GCTGATGATCTAGTAATATATGTTAAAAGTAAAAATATACAATTAGCTACGCAAAATTTTCAAAAAACATTAAACAGCTTAGAAATGTGGTCTTTAGAGACTGGTTTAACTTTTTTAACTGGGAAAACTAATGTTTGACAAAAGAACAGCGGAATACAACTTAAACTTGTGTCTAAATGGTCATTCTCTGAAACAAGTCCGCGAAATCAAATTTTTGGGTGTAATTTTTGACGTTTGACAACTCACATATACTTCACATATCAACAATTTGATCAAATCCTGTCAATAAAGAATAATCTTACTAAGAGTTTTATCCAATCATAGATAGGGTTCAGATACTAAAATTCATATAAATTTATATCAGACATTAATAAGAAGCAAACTCGATTACGAATGGATCTGCTCTGAAACAACAAATAAAAATTAACTAAAAAAACTGAATGGAGCCTTTAGAACTACTCCAATAAGAAGTTTTCAAGTGTTAGCAGGAGAAATGTCACTATACCTCATAAGACAATATCTATCACTATGTTACGCTTCAAAAATTCTAAGCGCAAAGCATCATACCTTTCTCGCAACTTTAGTATCGGAAGAATCACTAAAACAATACACAAATTACACCACCAAGACAGTATCATTTTACAAACGAGTTAAAAGATAACATGGACGCATTATATCCTCAAAAATATCAATTAAATCACCTTGGCACCCATAAAATTATACCAGTCACTTACAAATTGTTCTTCACTGATACCTTCAAAAATTGCAACGCAGTAGCAGCTGCTACTATATCAGAAAATGTAATTTCTGCCACTATATTAACTGACTGCTATAGTATTTATACAGCAGAGCTCCAAGCAACTTGACACACTAAATCATTGTAAAACCACAACTGAAAAACAAATACTAATATTGTTAGATTAATTCAGTTCTCTATAGGGACATTAAACATGTTTATCTCACACACATCAACCTATTCCTAATGAAAGACGCGTTGCAACAGCTCCAATTTTCTGAGAAAACCATATCATTTATGTGGGTTCCATCCCATGACAGTTTGAGCAATAAACAATGTGAACATTCCGACTATAACAGCTATACCAATATCAGATACTTAAACTTTATTCAAGACTCATGTTAACAAAATCTGGCAAGAAATATGGGATCAACCAAACACAAATCTTAAACACATCAAACCGGCCGTATCTTCAAAAAAATTTTCTATACCACCAAAAAGAAAAGACCAAGTAATTATCAAACTTCGCCGTTGCCTGGTCCCAAGTCCAGGATGAGAAAGGAGGAGGGTTAAGCAAGGGACTAACTATTCCTTCTTGTAAAAAAACATAGTTATGAAAACGAAGCACATGCCTCGGATAAGGACGGATCTTTTAAGACGACAAAAGCGACGACAAAGGACAATGAATATAGGAACCTGGAACGTACTAAGCCTATATCGGCCTGGAGCCCTAACTCAGGTGGTCAAAAAACTTGAATCCAGAAACATAGACATAACTGCTTTACAAGAGATTAGATGGACTGTAGAAGGTACACTAAAAACTAATAAATCAGTAGTATTTTTCAGCGGAAGCGAACGAGAACATCAATTCGGAACTGGTTTTATAGTCAGGGAAAGTCTTGTGGGGTCAGTTTTAACTTTCAAACCCATTAATGAAAGACTTTGTTATATCAGAATCAAAGGACAACTACATAACTATTCCCTAGTTGCTGCCCATACACCGACAGAGGAAAAGAAAGAGCATGTAAAAGATAACTTCTACGAGAAACTAGAGGAACTGATAAATAATTTACCTAAATAGGACATGCATATTATCTTAGAAGATTTCAATGCAAAAATTGGGAAGGAAGCAGTGTACAAACCAACAATAGGTAACCATAGTCTTCACGATGTTAGCAACGATAATGGAACAAGGCCAATAGACTTTGCAGCATCCCACAATCTACTAATAAAATCGACAATGTTTGAACACAAGAATATACACAAACAAACATGGGTCTTCAACGACGGCGTCACAAGAAATCAGATTGATCATGTTCTAGTAGATGCCAGGAGGGGTAGTAACTGTCTAGACGTAAGAAGCGTAAGAGGAGCTGATGGAGACACGGATCATTTTCTTGTAAAAGCGAAAATAAGGACAAGAATAGCGTCCAAAAAAACACACAAGAATACACCAACACAATTATGGAATACCGAAGTTCTACATAATAAGGAGACATAACAGAAATTTCAAAAGACTATAAAAATCGCTCTAGCACAGACAGAAGACTATAACAACATAGATTCAGCTTGGAAAAATATCAAAGTAGCTCTGACAAGCGTATCAGATGAAATACTAGGACACAAAAAGAAAACAACAAAAAAATGGTTCGATGATGATTGCCTGAACTCCATATTAGCAAGAAATATGGCTAGAAGGAACATGCTACAAAACCCTCGCACAACAACAATGAAATGTATAGACAAAGAAGAACAGAGGCAAGAAAACTAATGAAAAGGAAGAAGAGAGAGTATCAGGAACAAATAATCAGAAATATAGAAGAAAAAAGAAAGAACAAACAAGCGAAACAGTTCTTTAAAGGAGTTTCAGATATCAAGACCGGGTACCAAGCAAGAACAGGAAATTTTCTTCAAAACGACAGTGGACAGCTTATCACTGATGACAATCAGTGAAATCTTAAAAACCTGGAAGGAATACTTCTATCAACTATTGAATGACCAATCTAGCAGAAGTACATCAAACATTGAGGTACATACAGCTGAAATAGAAGACCAATACCCGACATACGAAGAAGTAATACAGGCAATTAAAAAACTCAAAAATAATAAGACACCAGGTAGCGATGGTATACCCGCAAAGTGCTTAAAACATGGAGGAGAAGCGTTGTACAGTTCGATATACAAGCTAATTCAAGACATTTGGCAAGAAGAAACAATGCCAGATGAATGGGAAGAAGGGATTATTGTATCAATACACAAAAAAGGAAACAAAAAGCAATGTATTAACTACAGGGGAATAACACTCCTAAACAACACCTACAAAATCCTTGCAAACATCCTGCTAGAAAGAACCAAAACATACACAGAAGAAATCGTTGGAGATTATCAATGCGGATTTAGACCGGGCCGCTCTACAATTGACCAGATATTCACAATAAAACAGATAATGGAAAAATGCTGGGAGTTTGATCGTGAGCTTCATCAGATATTCATAGATTTTAAAAAAGCATTTAATAGAGTATGTAGGGACAGACTGTGGACAGCGATGCAGGAACTTGTCTTTCCAAAAAAAACTAGTCCGGCTGATACGGATGTGTATGGAACGGTTACGATGTAAGGTGAGAGTTGGACAACAATACTCGGAGACATTTGAAATAAACAATGGACTAAAACAGGGAGATGCACTTTCGCCACAACTCTTCAACTTAGCTCTGGAGCACATAATCAGAATTGCAAGAATCGAAAAACCGAATACAGTATTTCATCGAGAAGGACCAAACTTACTACTGAAATTTGCAGACGATATAGATCTAATAGGAAACACGCGATTAAGGATGAAGGAGACTTTCGTAAGGTTTGAGAAGGAAGCAGAGAAGATGGGGCTCCAAATCAACGAAAACAAGACGAAATATATGTATATAAGCCGTAATAACCAAAGCAGAGACAGAATCGGTCAGAACATTGCCATCGATGACTTTAAGCGCGTTAGGGAATTCAAGTATCTTGAAACAACAATAACGGAAGACAATAACGGATCACAAGAAATAAACAATAGGATTCAGGCCGGCAACAGATGTATTTTTGCTCTCCAAAACCTTATAAAATCTAAACAACTAACACGACGTACGAAGATACAGGTCTATAAAACAATCATACGACCCGTTGTGATGTATGGAAGCGAAACGTGGACGATAACAAATGCAAATGAAGAGAGACTACGTGTTTGGGAAAGAAAAATCCTAAGGAAGATCTTTGGTCCGGTGCTTGATGAAGCATCAGGACAATATAGAATAAGCACTAATAAAGAGATTGAAGAACTTTACCCAGACGCCAACATCATAAAAGAAATAAAGTCCAGAAGACAACAATGGGCAGGACACCTCAGAAGGCAGAAGTTCCAACTGGAAGGAGACCACGCGGACGCCCTCGTCTCCGGTGGCGAGATAATATAGCAGGAGATCTAAGTACTATGGGCGTGGAGAATTGGATGGAGGTTGCTCAAGACAGAAAACAGTGGAGGCATGTTGTCGAGTCGGCTAAAACTCACGAAGGGTTGTAACGCCACGGAGTAAGTAAGTAAGTAATTATCAACAAACTCCGGCTTGAGCATACACGACCTACGCACGGCTACATAGTCTACAAACAACCACTACCATTCTGCGAAAGATGCCAAATACCTTTCACAGTCAACCATATATAATAGAATGTCTAGGTCTAGAGTATACCTCAGCCAAGGCAATATTCAAGATACCCAACAGCCTGAAAGAAGCACTGGTTATAAAATTCATTGGAGATCTGTATTTTTTAAATTACTGTAAACTCTATAATAAATTATGATATAATTTTTGTTACATGTACATTGTACCATATTGTTGTAAGGCATGACTATGTATCGTATTTTCTTTATTTGTATCATATACCTACCGCTAATAACCCTAGTGGTTGATGCGGATAAATAAAATTAAAAAAAGGAGCATCAACTACGCACGGAATTATTTCGACCAATTTTTTTATAATCTAAGGTATCATAAAAAGACTGTTAAAAGAATCCTGGTATAAACTTTTGTCAGTATTTTTAAATAATGTATTATAATAATGGTGACTATTAAAAGATTTTATTATTCTTATCAGTATTTACGAGTATAACCCAAATATTGTACCTATAGTTTAATTACTAATTTATAAGACTAGTTACGTACTTTTATATAAAAGTAAATTTACAGTAATAATTCTAATAATCCAGTGAAATAATTGAGTATTTTTTAAATATTTTTATTCTACATCTTTTTTAGTTTTACCAATAAAACATTTAATTCATGCAAACTCTGTATATAATAATTTGGTTTATATTCTTCCGGGTACGTCCAATTTTGAATATTTTTTATTTTGGTATTTCCAGTAAGAACAAGAAGTTTCTGATAATTATTCACTGTAGCAAATCCCAAATCTTCTATTACTCTAAAAACAAGAAAATTAATTGCAACTTACTAAATCGGAAATAAAAAGGAAACATGCTTAGTTTTAACGGATTATCAGACATAACTATTGAAAAAATAATTAATTTACAAATTATGTAATTTAATAAATTGTATTGAAATATATATTTTCTGAGAGGAATATACAGTTGGTATAGTATAAATCCCATTACACGGCATCCGCGTAATAGTAAGTAGCGTCAGATGATACCAATACAAAATATTTAACCCTCTAACTGGTAAGAGGTCCCTGAGGGCCCCTTCGCTTATTGTTTATTTAAGCCGCAGGTAAAAGTCAGGTAGCCGTAAACTGTTTTGAATCTCCCCCACTAGTTCGTCTAGAGACGTTTCAAATGCATTCTAAATTCATTAAACCTTATCGTTACATTTTTGTCTCAGTTTTCTGCGATTTTTTATGAGTGGTTTAGAGCTTCAAGTTTCACTATATATTGTAATTATTACAAAACAAGTATTCTGAGTGTGCTTTAGAAGCGAAAATAAAAAGGGTTCCTGAGGGACCCCTTGCCGGTTTATGTGAAGTTTCGTCTCACTTTGTTGTGATTGTTGTGTTGTGTTGTTGTGCTATTGTTTACCAACTTTCATCAGTTATTTGTTTATTTTGCTTCTGGAAAAACAGCTGGAGAGAGAAAAAGTTTAATTTGTCGGTAATGACCGAAGATGAAATCCAAGAACTTATGGACTCTGTTGAAACGGATTCGTCAGGTGATTATAGCAGTGATGATCCAGACATCGACCCAGATTACGAGCAGGATGAGATCGCTCCAGATGATATGATAACAGAGTGTATCCGTGAAATGCAAGCAGGTGAAACAAGCGACTATTTTATTCAAAATGTGAACATGTCGCTAAATATCAGTGACATAGAAACACCTGCTGCATCATCAACAATGCTAACGGCGGTGCAAATCGAAGCTGACGAATGTGTCGAATCTTTAAAAAAGGAAGAGGCTGGGCCGTCTAGATGTATGAAAGCAATTCCATCAACTTCAGTCGCCGATGTCGCACATGCTGCAAGTTCTAAGCCAAAGAAACGACCCCGTTCGCCATTACCTATAATGGAAGATTCTGGACCTTTGATCACGCCTTCTATTGCTGGTTTTACTGGGAGAGGTAATAGTTATATATTCATACTTTAGCAATAGTGTACTATTTTTATTCTCATTTCAGCTATTCAGGATATCAAAAAAGATTCGGAACAATTTACCAAAGTAACGTGGCGTAAGCGATCAATGAGCTTGCATGTAAACGAAGTAGCTTTCCAAGGAGATGTACGGTTGCCATTGTCAATAAAAGAACTGGAAACACCAATAGAACTCTTCAATTATTTCTTCACAAAAGAGATTATTGATTTGGTGGCCAATGAAACGAACGATGCAGCTCGTCAAGAAAATATCAATACAAAATTCGCCGCGAGTGGTGAGGAGATTAGGATATTTATCGAAGTGTTGATGTACATGTCGATTTATCGATACCCTAATCTAGAGAGCTACTGGAGCAAAAACGCGTTCGCCCCCATCCAGAAGACAATGCCTGTAAAAAAGTTTATGGCAATAAAGAAACACTTATCGTTTCAAGATGAAAGGCAGCGCATTCGAAAAGGTCAGCCAGGCTATGATCCACTGTTTCGCATCCAGAAATTGGCTGATAAGGTCAACAATCGTTTTGATTTGATTCCAAAGACGGCTAAATTGTGTGTTGATGAGCAGATGTGTTCGACCAAACTCAAGCATCATCTCCGTCAACATATGCCAAATAAGCCGCACAAATGGGGCATCAAACTGTTTGTGCTTTGTGATTCTCACGGTTACGCATATCGTTTTGAAATTTACAACGGTGCAGGCGACAATATAATTCTTCCTGGCGCAACTGATCTTGGAAGTACATCAAACGTTGTTGTACGTTTGTCACAGACCATACCTAGCTTTTCTCATCACATCCTTTACTTCGACAATTTCTATACGTGTTTACCTTTGTTAGTTTATTTACGTGCAAGAGGAATCCATAGCCTTGGTACAATACGGACAAACAGAATCCCAAACCGTAAGCTTCCGTTGGATAAGGATATCAAAGATGAAGAAAGAGGATATTCTGTTGAATATGTTGGATCTGCGTACGGTGTTGATTTCAGTACAATTTTATGGAAAGATACCAAGAACGTGCGGCTGGCATCGACTTACGTTGGCATTGAGCCGTTTTTGAGAGCAAATCCAAATCAACATATTGCAAAAGTACCACGATATGATCGAAAGAAAAAGAAATACATCGAAGTCAACTGTCCGCAGATCATTCGCGAATACAACAGACATATGGGAGGAGTCGATCTGATGGATGGATTGATGGGTCGCTACCATATTAGAGCGAAGACACGTAGTGCAATGGTTCGAATTTTCTAACACTTGATCGATATGGCTGCAACAAATGCTTATATTTTGTACCGTCGAATACATGCTGAAAAATGTAATGATTGGAACAATATCTCAGCGGAACATGAAAAGTTGTTGCAGCTACCAGAATTCAGAGAACAAATTGCTGCTGCTCTCGTTGTATTCAGTGAAAAACGTGTACTTGGCCGACCTTCAACATCAAAATCACAATCGAGCTCACCGCAACCAACTACTTCTGGCATTGGAAAAAAAGCAAAACATCCCATTGATGACATTCGCTTCGACGGTATTGATCACTTTCCACTTTGGCTCAACAAAGAGAGTGGTAAAAAAAATGTAAACTTTGCAAAGTGTCAAAAACTCAATGTATGTGTAGCAAATGTGATCTTCACTTATGTTATTCTAATGCCAAAAACTGTTTTTATAATTATCACCATAAAAAATAGTGTACACACTTTCTTTTCCGTTTGTTTTTAAGTTTATTTTAATAAAATCCATTCAAATGAATAAAACGCTATTTTTAACTTAAACCGGCAAGGGCCCCCTGAGGACCCCTTTACCTGTTTTTACCTGGAAGCCAAACAAAAAATGATAATTACATTTTAATAGCTTTTCTAGGTTTCTTAATATATTATTAAACTTGAAAAAAATTCCCAAGTAAATAGAATAATTTTAGAATCTTGCCAGTTAGAGGGTTAACCTTTTCACTGTGAATTTTTTTTATTAGAAAAAGATGTCGCATCCACCAAAAGGTTATTAGCGACGGAACAAAATATAAATAACGAAGTTAAACACAGATTTAGAGCGTTTGGGATCTTGTAGCGCTGTCTTTCTTGGTCATATTTACCACAAATTGTTAAAAAATGTTCGCCTGTTAATCGGACGTTACACTGATCACAAATAGGTGAATTTTTCTTTGTGAGAAAGTAAGAGTACGTTAATCTGGTATGTCCTAGACGTAAACGCGCAACCGCAATTTGTTCTCGTTTATTGCGCGACGATGGAAACCACTGAAACACATTATTTTTGATTTTATTTAGATTGGAATTAGTTTGGAACCACTCATTTCGCCACACACACCATAGTTTATATTTAAAATAAGCTTTTAAGTCACTGGAAACACCCTTGTCTATCGGATCTGACAATTCACTTAAAATTGCCTCTCGTGCATTCCTGTCAGCTTCTTCATTTCCTGATATTCCGACGTGTGAGGGAACCAATAAAAATTGGACGCTTCTTCCATAATCATAAGAAATAATATCTGGAGAATATTCAGATAAAAAAAGCTGTATTCCTTGATTCGGAGTTAGATGATACTGAACAATTGTCTAGAGAAGAGTCACTATCTAAGTCAGAAATCTCTTTCTCTAAATGGTTCTATAGTTTCTTTTAAAGTTTTGTAAACTTGCTTTTTGTAGATCTATCATTTGCATATTGATAGCTGCTTTGTAAAAGATGGAGTTAACCAGCCATATTAGTAAACCAAATTTTCAAGAGTTTCCCGTGTAGATGGGACTTTGGAGGAGCGCGGTTTTTTGGTTTAGAGGGTTTGGGTTTTGTAAACAGAATTTCTGATGAAATTACTAAGTCTGGAGGAGGCGTGACGATCTCACCAATACTGCGTTTTATGGAAAAACTTGCGTTTTCGTAATTGCTATTAGAGTTTTCACTTAGATGCTGTGGCTTTATTACATTTGGAAGTACTGGAGCAAACTCATTGATAGTGACAGTAGACAAGCTTGAAGTTTTATTTGTAAGATTGGTTGAAATAGTTGTTTCAGAAAGTTGCATCTACCTCTGAAAGGTATTAACATTTCGTCAATTGTTACTTCTTCTTCTAAACAGTAGTTATTGTTGCAGTTCTCCAAAAAACGATCCAGTGAACTCGAATAGCAGCAAGCTTATCAGTTTTCTTGCGTATCCCTCCACTATTCGCGTCTTAAAATCTTAGAGCAGCAAGCAAAAATAAAAATCGAATCAGCACTCATGCACGCTCTAAATATTTCTGAGCCGGTTCCGTCTTTAGTCCACAATTCAAGAAAATATGTATGGTTTGCTTTTTAATTCCTGCAAGAAGTAGTAGTCCGATAAATGCCATAATTTCTGTTTTTGTTGTGTCTTTAGCCATTCTCGACCGGTTATACTTTATTCGTATATTTACAATTTTCAAGTTTGCAAACTCTCATTGGTAATATCTCTAGCACTCAGCTTTGGCCCAGGAAGTATTTTTAGAATATTTTTCCTGGAAGTTTTGCTAAATTTGCTCACCACTCAAAATTTATACCACTTTGTTTTTTTATCTTTCGCTATAAAATACTCATCTTCATCGCTTTCTAAACTCTCACCATTGCTCTCGTTATCTGAATTAGAATACTCTTTATCATTTAGTTCTATCTCCGACTCAGTGTTATAATCGTTGTCTTCTGTAATTTCTTCCTCTTTTTCTGACGAACTAACATCCTCTTCTCCCCTAACTTCTTCCTCAGGTTCTTGTTCGAACAATGCTTCAGCCATAGCTCCAAACTCATCTTGTGTGAGACTTTTAGGGTTTCTAACACGCAATCGATCCCTATAAAAA